ATTATTGATAACATTTAGAACCCTGTACTAATATACAAGGAAGTTCAAGAGCAAAACTGCCATTGACCTTTTCCTATACATGTCCATAGTGCTCAAAGGGAAAGTAAAATACATACAACTAGATATCATAAACTAATGCATGCAGCACTGGCAGACTTTTTCATTGTAAAAGTGCTAAGACAGCTGAGTTCATGCTGTTGCGTCTGATTTTTAAAAGGAATTCTAGAAAATACCAGCTTTCCAAATTTACAGTTAACACACACAAAATTATAGGAGCAGGAGGAATTATTTTCACAAGGGTGATTGTAAAATTAAAAATCAAGCAAACAGAAATAGTGGTTGGTACAAACGTGAAGTGACAACAGTGAGATGGGGGTGGGAGGAGCACAGAGCCTCCAAGGCACAGAAGAGAAAAGCAGATTGGATGCGACAGATAATAGGGAGCTCTAAGTTCTAGTCCAGGACAGGGCTAGGAAAACACTGCTGCTTGTTTGCAGTCTATCTTAGATGTTTTTCTTTTTCTAAAAGATAAAAAAAGTTAAATAATTATACGTAAGGTACTTACGGCAAGAGTTGGTTCCTAATATGTCACTAAAAATGCTAAAGTCAAGCTTCCCATGGCCTAAATCTCCTTATTAGCGCTCTGTTGATAAACATAATGTGTACATAAACCCATCTCTCAACTACCATAAAAATTCAGTATTAACTGCTGAAACAGCACTGTTTCAAGGCGCATTACTCATCTGAAATTCCTATGGACATATGAACAGCAAAACCACAATCCCTCTTTCTTGACTCAAAATATATTTAGTTAATTATAGTATGTCTAAAATCTACACACAAGGGAGATTGAAGAGTCAGGAAACGAAAAACAAAAAATAAAATTTGATGTTTATACAAGGAGTCCTCACAATGTAACAATGAATGTTTAAATTTTTAAAAAATTAAAAGATGCATTGCCATTAATTTCCTTCAAAATACTCCCGTCACTTCAAACATACTTATTCAACTGTTCTTGTCCCTTTCTGAAGTTGTTCTACAAGTCCTCTTACAGTGTCTTTTCAAAGTATGATACAAAAAAATACAGTGAAGGTTGCGCCTACCCAATGGAAATGTAGGCTTTTAAAAACTCTCCTAGTGTGTCCTCATCCATTTTATCCGCCAGCCCGTGCACCGCACAAGTTCTGGCTCTTCCCAAAGTCAAACTGAGCATGAAACATAAATGTAAGGACAGCCAAGCAGCCAGGCAAGCTAAAGACATTCAGCAGAGGAGTTCCAAACCTGCTTCTGAAAGGGGAAAGAAAGGACAAGTGTATTTGAAGCGAGAGGGAGTATTTCGAGGAAGATTCATGACAATGTGTCTCTTATTGCAATTATTTTTTAATTTAAATGTTCACCATATTTTAATCACATCTCATATACTATAAAACCATAGTTATTATACAGTTGTACATTTTACCACATTATTATATTATCCATGAAAACTCCATACTTTGTTTTTAATATCAAAAACTACAAACAGAAAGTCATTACAAAGAGGGATTTCTCTCTTGAATTAATATTCTCTAAAAACGTCAAGGGTTCCCTGCCTTTGACAAAATGACTAAGGTCAGCAGCTGTGACATTTGAGAGTCCTAGAACTCTTCACTTTCACAAGCCGAATAATCTTCTATTCACTAAGCTCTTAATCTACTCTTTATCTCTTCAGTGGCTTGTGATTGTCACAAATTCTTAATACTATTCCATTTAATTTCCGAGGATTTCTTCACCATATGTCTCTTTTAGGAGGATCATAGAGAACTGATTCCCTTTGTGATAGGTTACAAAATAGCAATCTGGCTGAGAACACTGTCACTACTTGAAATGCAACAATAATAACAGCAACAATACTGAATCAAGATAATTATTTTTTAAACCAAAATACAAGAGTAGGAAAAACTCACCTCAGTTTTATGGAGGTTACTAGACAAGAAAATTTCTGTCCTGATTTATCTAAATTGCCTCAGATTTTCACTTTACCTGGTAATATATATAAAAAGTTTCAGTCTAGTGTCAGAGAGCTCTATTTTTGCATCTTAAAGCAATTTATCTTAAAATTGGCTCATGAGAAAAACTTCCCTCCTGACATCTTAACACTATGGCATTTCATAAATTGGTTTCCTGTATCAGCTGTTTGCTAATGTATTAGCCAGTTCATTTAACTTTATAGTGATATAACAGAAGGATTAAATAGCAAACTTTCTGTATTTCATTCATAATATATATCTGGCTTCAGTGCTTCTTGTTGTTCTTCAATTAAACTAATTCAGACCAGACCTTTAAAAAAAAAAAACACACAAACAGTAATTGTTGAAGATGGAAGTAGTTTCCTATAGAAGGCAGCCGCTTTCCTTGAGAATGATTCATTTAGAAAAGCAGCAGCTTCCAGACTTCACACATTACTTCCCCAAATTTGCTGAATTTAGCAATAGCCAGCTTGGTACTAAAACACTCAGAACTCAAAGACATGTGGGTGAACGCAAAGCTTCCTCTGCAGTCTTATTCCCAAAGCTCACAGAGCTACCTCTTCTAATTTATCTGTTGTATTTCTACTTGTAAACATATCCTGGTGATATTTAAAAAATCAGGTACAGATTTGTCAGTTTGGGAATGATTCAAGTTTCTTTATGATTATGGTTTGAGTCATGTGGGTGGAATGATGAATTTGTATTAAATTCTGAATCATGAATGTGTTCTTCCCTGTTTAACAGTATTACTAACAGGCATTAAATAACCATGATATATGATATTATACGGGTTATATCATATAATAAAGAAAACATTCTTCTCTTAAATGAGCTTATGGTTCACCTACTACTAGGGTCATTTATTTATAAAAAGATCTTGCCAACTCACAACTCTGTCCTAAATGTGTTTGGTTACCAAGTATCTGTAAGTGCTTATTAACTGCATTTTGCACTAATTACGGCAGTGAGCTGATGTTCCTGAATGGCATCTTTAAAACACGGCCCTGCTACACACACATCTAGGTGCCTCTGACCCCTGCGAGGAACAAAGGACATCAGAGTTGAAGAGTGTCCTCTTCTGCAACCACATGGCCTGCCATTTTATCTGATACGATGCCATCTGTTCATCCTGCTGCCATTCTCTCGGGTAACTGGGTTAAAACCACAAAACATTAAAAATAGCCGCATTGCCTACTGTATTTTTAATTGACTGGGTATTTATATCAGTGACTTTTCTTTCACAGACTATTTGTTAAAATATTTTGTGGCCTTGTTTTAAGAGGTAGCTATTCAAATCTGTTATGTTGCATGGATCACAGTCTTAGTCAAGAATAGTTCTCTACAATTTCTTATATAATCGATACATGGGGAAATGTTAAGAATTGGTAATGAAAAGAATACGTGCTAGAGTCAGAACTTTTATAATTTTGCAAGTTAAGAACACTGCATATGGAATTATGGTTAGAATCCCTGCTCCATGCCTTATGACCTCTGTGAAATTTTGGGCAGGTTATCTTATTCTGTTTAATTATCCTTACCTGTATAATGAAGATAATAATTGTATCTACCTCACTGTGTTGTTAGGAAGATTCCATGAGCTAATTAATGTAAAGAATAAAATATACTACTTCACAAATAATAAGCCCTCAATAAATATTAGCTATTATTATCAATTATATTGGTTTGATATTAATCTTAAACTGGTACAAAAAAGTTTGGGGAATTGAACATTTATTCCACTTTAGTTGGAATATGTTATATAGAGAAAAATTACAAGATGAATCCAATTTCTCAAATGTACTTCATTTGATTTTAAATGTATTCCATATCCATATTTTAAGAACATGCCGTTTTTATGCCTTTTCATCAGTGTATTATGCAGTGTTTTATTATTGCATGTCATTTCCTGAAATCCTGTGAACGAAAATGTCACTGATAAGCACACACAAAACATTGCTACAGCCACACAGAAAGCAAAAAGAACTTCCATTTATGACTTGTTTAAAGGCACAATTTATCTTCAAAATGCTGAAAAGCATTTCCGTAGGAGTAGAGGAACAATCCACAGCGCGTACACCGCTCTCACTGGTGCTGGTTGAAGCACTCTATAGGCCTTTTTGATTCTCATTTTAAGAGGACTATAAAATTCAAGTTATAATTAACGCAAAAAGGCAGACTTAGAAAAAAAAGGAAGTCAAACAGGTTAATGTACAGATTTTGGAGTTAGAGACATAAATGCATTGCTTCATAATGGCCCATTTCACTCACACCTTTGCATATTCCAGTTAGCTGAACTCTTTTCAATGCCACCCATTACCTGAGAATAGCAGAAGCCCCACTCAGCAAAATAGGGGCCTGACTGGCCAAATTCATTCCAGTCATTCACTGTGTTATTTGTGTTCTCTAGGTAGTAATTTCTCTCCTGGATATGCTGATTTAAGTATTATGAAATGAACTAATAAGAAAAAACTGTAAGAAGTAACTATTGGCAGGGTATAAAAATGAGCAACCGTATTATGCTAAAATCCAAGTTTTTATACATATAACTTGGAGATAATCACACTGTATTACCTTTGAACATAAATTTACTGGAATTTAATATATAGGAAACATATACAACACTATCTTTTAGAGATATCCTACATCAGATCCCACATGTTTATCAAATATGGTACTTGGTATATTCATATTAGGTAAAAAACAATCCTCCAAAGGAGAACAGTTGTATTGATTAGAAAAAAATATATTAATTAAATTTAAAATATACTAAATTAACATAAGATTGTTGCTTTGTAATCACTTTCTTCAGTTTATTCAAATCTAGTATTTGCTCATTTCTTTTGGAGACACAAATATATCATTTATGCACCAAAAGGTGTACTCAAAGAAAGCTTTGCACTCCGATTTCATATAACTTGTTACACATGGCACATTCATACTCAAACAGTCATAATAATAAAATACTGGCTCTAAGAAAAAAAATATATGACTTACCTCTTCCCACTGATGTATATATCTGATTAACCTTGAAAGTCGTAGTAAGCGCAAGAGACTGAGAATTTTTGTAAACCTCACAATGCGAAGTGCCCTGGCTGTCTTGTAAACTTCTGAATCCATTCCTTTTTCTACAATAAGAAAGATATAATCCACTGGAATTGATGAGATGAAGTCAACGACAAACCAGCTTTTTAAATAGTTCATCTTGATCACTTTAGGGTCCAGGATGATTTCAGAACTGTCTTCATTGACAGTCCCAGTCCTAAAATTCATGATCAGGTCCAACAGGAAAACGGTATCTGATGCCACATTGAAAATAATCCATGGTGTTGTTGTTTGCTCTGTAAAGAAGGTGATTCCAACTGGTATGATGACCAGATTTCCAACCATCATTATAAGCATTATTAAATCCCAATAAAACCTACAACAAATAAAAAGAATCAGATTTTAAGATGTAGAAAGTAACCATTCCATTCTCTTCCTCACAAACAAAATTAATCGGTGATTTATGGTTAAATATGTGAATAAAAGAACTACATTTTTAAATGTAGTTCCTTCAATGGTTTCACTTAATTCTATGTAAAACTGATCTATTCTTTAACCAAACCATTATACTTATAGAATTCTAAAAATAATTTGCTAAAATGTACTATACAAATAAAATTCAGGAATATACCACTGTTTATCTAGGAAAGAGGCAAAAGCAAACTCCCTATATGGCTAATGCAAAATATAGATGCACACAAAGAAGAAATACAAGACTAGACAACCTATCCTAAGAAAACTGCGGTGGAAAAGCATTTTAGAGGAGCTTTAAAATAACCTATGTGTTAATTTATTGATCACAGATTAAAATAATAGTCATTGGAGAGTATTCTAAAAGTGATGGTGCTACAAATTTCTCTCAAAGAGTACAGGTTACATCCACCATGGATTCCAACATACCTTAGAGATTTACAGTATTCAAAATGTTTGTGTCTTATTCTTTTTTCTTGAAATAAAATTAATTTCAGTCCGATAATATAAAGTATAAAGAAGTGAACAGATTCTACTCTGGATTTAAAGCTAGAATCACCTAAAACTTAAACTTATCGCTAACTCATTGAACAACTACCTTAAATACACTGCATAGTTTTTTCAAAATAACCCCTTGATTAAAATTTCCAATTTAATTTGGAACATGTCTATCATTATTAACAACACTTGAAAACCTGTTTTGTGGTACCAGGAATTGAACTCAGGACCTTGCGCTTGCCAGGCAGGCACTTGTGCTGTTGAGCTATATGCCAGGTTGGAAAACATTTTTATCTTCACTTAAAATTGGAAGAAACCAGAAACTTTGTCTCAAGTTTATAGAGTTTAAATTTATCAGATATGACTATAGTATTATTTTCATAAGGGGTATTTCAAAATCTGATATATATATGTACATATAAAAGGAAAAATTAACACAACTGTATAATTATAAAACATACAAACATGATTTACTTCAGCCTAATCATAGGTATTCTCTTCTGGCATTTTTGTTGTGTAAACAATACAAACTTCAATATAAGAATTTCTATTAACCAAGAAATTTTTGTTTCATATTAATTCACAGACTATGAGCTACATTTTGGTAAGGGTTATATTTGCACAAACTTTTTAAATTATTATCACATATAATTATGATTGACTCCTGGTATAATACTACAAGAAACAGCTATAAAAGGCTTTGTCTCTAGCCCCAAGATTATGCAAATGTTTGTCATTTTTTAGTTATACCTAATATGTGTGTTGAAACCTAATTGTATATTTATAAACAAGTGCAGAATTGCTTATATCATACATCACACACCAGCAGTTAGGAATAAAACCACTTTTTCTGCTTTTTTCCCCCTCTTCTTAATGGAAATGCAATTAGGGAAAAAAAATGTTTCTTCTGTTTTTTTTCTTTCTTCTTAATGGAGATGCATAACGTGTCATTTAATACACTGAGGACAGAGGACAGATGTACAAGAGAAGCAATATTGTAATGGCTATTTCACAAACAAATGACATCACTAAACGCTAAAATGAAATCCCATGTACCCTGAGGATTTTCATTTCTGGACACTATCATCAGTCTTTTCTGCCAGCAACTCTCTCTGCTCTCCCCCTGAAGGCCACTGATCCCATGGGTGTCACACATCACCCTTCTTCTTCAACTCTACATTGCCTCCTTGGGAAATATTATGTGCTCATCCATGCCTTCAGTGACTGACTTGCAACTGATGACTCTAAAGCTTTGTCTCCACTCCATCCCTGTCTTCCAAGCCTCCAGACCCTCATAATCAGCAGCCCATTAAATTTGTCTCTTTGCATAGCTCACGTCCCCCTCAAGCAGCATGCCTAACCTCAAACTCGTAACGTCTTGGACCCCTTATATTCTTCACGTGCCCCCATCTAGAAGAAAGGAACAACAGTATATGTGCTTTGCAGCTCAGAAACTTTGGAACCATCCTAGATCACCGTTGGCCATACATCCACCCAATCCCATACCCAATCAATTATTAAAACTGTTTGATTCTAATATGTAAAAGATAGTTTACACCATTGCATGGTATCTTATGATATATGCAACATTTATGTCTTGTGTCAGTTAAAATTAAAAAAAATCATACCTATGTTATGATGCCTCCACAATAGAGAATTCCTTAATATTTTAGGTTAAAAATAAAAATATATTCATTCATTTGCCCTTTTCAATTCAAAATGAAGTTGTCCTCATTCAGATATCTTTACTAGCTCTGTAATTTGGAGAAATTTTATAAATATTCTAATTCTAAATTTTTTCCTCAGTAAAATCAAGATGAAAGAAACAAATGTATAGTTTGTGGATTAAGAGAACTAAAAGATAACATATGCAAATCATGGGGTTTGTGACACATGATGCTGGTGGTATAGTCATCATCCACTTGCTCTTCCTTACTTACCAAAAGAAATACAGTTTTGTAGGAAACAGCCAAGAGTTCATTGAAAATTAAAGACATCCTTGTATTTCTGTCATTAAAATTGAAAAATTTTTTAAAGTATTAATATTCTGTTCTTCTTAGTCAATAAAGATGAAAAATAAGGCCTCATTCATTCTTTATTATGGCAATAATGTTACCACACCACAGCTTTTTATTAGCAATATCAAAGCTATCTGACATCTCAGTATCCATATGAAGAAGCTCCACTGATTCTTATAATATCCTTTTAACATATCATTGACTATTTTACAACATAAAAACAGGTCTGGTTATAGACTTTGGATAATATAATACTGTATTTGGTTAACGAAGATTATTTCCTTCCGTAGCCAAAGAAAATACAGTTAGTATCTATTCTACAAGTGTGACATAACCTTTGTTTTTAAAGCAATACATGTGTTCTTGCACACTGACCTCATTAGCCTCTCTTACACCAACATCCATGATTGTCTCTTTCTGACTCTTAGTTCAGAAAATTTTCTATTGGATAATCAGGCTCTCGCTTTCCTTTATTCTCAATTTCTATGACACAGATTTTAAATCCAAATTGTCTTTCCTATCCATCTCGCTTTTCTATGTTCACTCTTATCTCTCTTGTTCAGGCAGTGCTATCTCTTGCTCAAAATTCTCCATGAGTCTTCTATCCTGTGTGATCAGTTCTAGCTCTTAGTCCCAAAGCAAGATGCCTAACAAGTAATTTTTCAGGGCAAAAGCCATCAGTGACTCTCTCAATTACAACAAAAATAACAATCCCACTGTCAAGGTAGTCCATGACATGGCCTCCCCCTCCCTTCTCTGACTCTTCTTTGTGGAATTTATGATGAGCACCCTATCCCAGGCAAGTGTCCGTGGCATGCTCTGTCATCATGCTTATCTCTGTACACCACCAGGAAATAAGGTCACATCTATTCTATCCCTTTTTCTACCTCTCAGCATTCTACCAATCCTTCAAATCCCACTCTGACAGTGAGATTTTTAGTTTTGTTCTTAATAGATTATATTTTTAGACCAATTTGGTGGCACAGAAAAATTTACCAGGGCATACAAAGATTTTTCAAAATCCCTGCCCTGCAGCATGCACAGCCAATCCCACTGGGAGCATAATCCACCACACATGAACATTTGTTACAAATGATGAGCCTTCACTGGTCGTCACTATCATGCCTGAGTCCACACTTTATGTTAGGGTTCACTGTTGCTGTTACACATTCTATGGGATAGGATACATTTATAGTGGCATATACAATACATGAGTAGTATAACTGTCCTAAACATCCTCTTTACCTTGCCTAATCATCTCTCCCTTTTCCCCATTTCTGAGGGCTCAGACAATATATATTTTCAATATGCTTCTAATTTTATTTGTGTATTATTACTATTTGTCTTTGTTTTCTCCATTATTACTGGACTTAAATTCTTTGAAGTACAAAAGTATATCTTGTCTATTTTCTGTTGTAATTTACAAAATGAATATAACACATCAAATACTAAATATATATATTAATTTTGAATGGAAACAAGCTTTAGTGGAGATGTTTAAAGAAAATTTTTATATTAAGACAATAAGCTATGAATAACAGAATACATTAAAGTAAATAAAATGAAACAAAGACATTAAGAAAAATTCTTAGGTTAGGAAAACAGTAAACAAAAGAATTTTGGACTTGACTCCTGATTTGGCATATTATAAAACTTATACAAGTAGAAATTCATCTTGCCCCAAGTAGAAATTCATCTTGCCCCTGGAAACAGAACTTAAGAAAGGTCCTTGTGGGACTCTGAAAGCAGACAAGAATTCAAATGCAAGGTCCACAGCTGTATAATCGGGGCTAAGGTACTTCACAGCCATGACAATTTCTTCCTGCTACCCTCAGATTTCTTCTGCAGGATGATCACATAGAGCGACATGTGTGAAGTTCAGAAGCTGTGACACAGAGGCAGAGACAGCCAAGAAAAAAAAAAAACTGTGAGCATCGTTATGTTGCTATAGTTATGGGATCCTGAATAAGGTTCCATTTCACAAAAAAACTTACCAGCATTGCTGGGATCCTTCACTTATCTTTCCATCTTTATAATAAACTTCCATCAACCCAAGGTAGCAGAGAAAGAAACACTTCTATACAAAGTTCCCTTCTCTGAAACACTGTCAAAGTAGAGCAAACACTCCCCAAAAAACCATTAGTCTTAACATTATCTGAGCAGAACAATAATCGAGGCAATTATTTTACTTTATTTCAGAAATAATAAAATAATATTTCTAATTATAATTAATGTGATATTATCACTAAGGTTGTAATTTTAAATATTATGAAAATAATCTATTGTCAAGAACAGTTTACTTTTTATATAAAGCATGCAAAGAGGAGGGAGAAAGAGGCTTTGTAAAAAGCAGCTCATAATAACTATGAAGAACTCCATGTTCAGCCACACTTCTACTCAAGCCAGTTCATCCCTCCAAAGCTTGTGATAAAGACACTTCCTTCTTCCCTAATAAGAACTGCACGCTGTCTTCAACATTCCCTGCCCCAGCTCCTTATGGTATATGCTCTGGTTGAAATAATTTGATGTCAGACATTTCTAACTTAAAGCTATAAAGTGATTTAAAGAATTGCCACACTTTGCTACTAAAGATGGTTGCCTTTAAAATCATTAAATATTGAATGAATTGTTCTCTTCTACCTTCTCTCTAATAGAATAATTTTTTCTCATTAAGCAGAAAGGAGAAAAAGACTTCTGGTTGTTCCTAGTGGGGAACTAGGCTCTTCATGGCTCCTATTTTATCCTTTCACAGTTTAAGTTAAAGGATGCAATAAGCCTGTTCCATCAACTCACATTTAAAGTTCATTTCTAAAAGAAATAATCAAACAGAATTCCCAAGAGATAACTTCTTTTCATAAGTTTCCATGGAATATAGCACCTCTTTTACAGATATAGAGCTATAATGTTGTGCTTCTGTGAAATGTCATTGGTATCAAAATTATGGGTTCACCAGGAGATAAACACTGCTAGATGTAGTATAAATGCTTTTTGTATTTTACTTAGAAAAATGCTCCCAAGGCATCAGTTAAATTTTATTTTTAGATATCAATCATAAATCATACATATTTGTACCAACTGATTTATCTATTTAAGTAAACAAATACATAAGCATACATCTTGCTGTATTTCCTTTATAACAGCACATAGCCCTAACAATCATGTTCCAAATTTTACTTAAAATTGTTGAATTATCAGAAGTCTGATTATAGCCCAATGGTGAGGGAAAGCATGTTTCTCCTGAAGTACAATTTAAGGTGATTTCCCTTGAATTCTTGGTTCTTCTTCTAAGTGTTCTTAGTGACAGTTCAGCAGCCTCATCAGCCAATGCCAGAACTTTGATCTGACATGTTGTCAGACTTCACTGTCAGTAAATAAACCCAGCTACTCAAATTCAGAGAATACTCACACTGGGATTACAATAAAATATATACCTTCCATAAGCTTTGTGAAAGACTTTCATTGGTCAGGTTCAGTAGTTTTTGTTCTTGTTTTTTAATGTGTGTTTGGTGATTGTGTGGTGTGGTGTGTGCTTGTGTGTGTGTGTGTGCTTGTGTGTGTGTGTGTGTGTTTGAGCTCATACTTTCATGTCATACAAGGACAAATTTACTACCCAGGAATAGTGGCTTCAAGGGTAGATATCAGAAAATGCAAACAACTCAAACATAGGAAACTTGAAGTGCAAATATGTTAGATTTCCTAATGTATGAAACTTTGCTAAGTGATCCTATCTGAAGGGAAGTTTAGCCTAACTTAAGGATAAAATTAAGGCCATATTTAGAGGCAGTTAGGTGTTTTGTAGTAAACTAGCAATTTGCCCAATGAGAACATGAGATGAGTGGGAGATATATTATTTTAGCTAATTGCATGAACAATTTATTAAAATTAAAAAAAGAAATAGAAATTTAAAACACTATGAAAATATTAAGATATGTACACATCCAGGCAAAAGAAAACCTATTTTATCCACTTTTAAACCTTAGTCTACAACTAAAATTTTCCTTATGTGTTAACTTTTAGACCGGCAATACCAACAGCCTTATATCACTTCATACACTCTTACTTATGTCAATTTACAACTTTAACTGTTTACCCTTCCTATGTGTAACTCTCTCAAATCTCTGGTTTCAATGATTGCACACTATCAGCTTCTCACTCATAATTTTGTATTAGCAGAAACATTTCCCTAAATCCTTTGATTTAGGGAACTTTGATCTGACATGTTGTCAGACTTCACTGTCAGTAAATAAACCCAGCTACTCCTCCTTTTCTGCCACTGAAGGGCTATTGTAAAGCAACTACTATCTTTCCCAGTTCACTTCTCTTTACTCACCAGTTCCTTTGGCCTTATCAGCCCTACAGATTTAACTAACATGTTAATGTAAAAAGTCTGCAAACCTGTCTTGTGGCTTCATACTGGAGTTGGAATAATGCATTTATAACTATGTCTGGAACACCAAGTGGCATCCACTGCTCTCATCCAAACAATCATATCAACAGCTTTAAATCTAAAATTATGGGGGCTGGGGATTTAGCTCAGCGGCACAGCACCTGCTTGGCAAGTGCAGGGTCATGAGTTCAATTCCTGGCACCAGAAAAAAAAAATCTAAAATTATTAGACTTATGGGCTCAAATTAATTTGTTTAATATTTTCATTTCTGTTTATTATAACATAGGTTTCTTTTTTATCTATCCTCCAAATAATAAAGCTTAAGAATTATCTCTAAATTATCTCTGCCAAGCTTGGCATTTGAGCATTTACTCAGCTGTATATTTTTTCTAGCACAACAGTTTTCCTAATCAACTTTTCACTTAGTTCATTGCTATCATCCTGGGTGAAATTTTTACACTATCATTATTTCACATACTAATTTTCCTGTTTCTAACAGCCTCAGCAAACTGCATCATATTTATATATGAGACTTTCATATTCACAAAATAAAATAAAACTATTCAAAATCTGTTAGATTATAGAACAATTCTATACTGTAAAGCTTATTTTTATGGACATGATCCCCAGCTAAATTTTAAAATGACTCTGTGATTCAGACTCTTTATCTTTGCCCTTCACCAACAACTATCATCTAGTGCCTCTTGTTCCTAAAACCCAAGTTCAATGTATTGCAGCATTACTTCCAGTCAACTTGCTTGGCAGTTCCTTCAGTTTCCCTTTGCACCTATTCCCAAGTTGATGGATCTTGTCCACAAATTGCTATCCTAATTTATCAATGTGTTTGCCATCTGAGTGCACATAATAGTGAACAGTGAATACCTTACCATAATACAGTGTCAATAATAATAAAAAGGACCACACAATAACAATATCCCAAAATACTGCTTTTGCTCTTATTCTTAGCCAAACAAAATGTCTATCTTCCTCATACCTACCTTGCCTAGCAAACAGTAAATATGTGTGCTAATAGGAAGAAAGACGTTATTCAAAGGACACTTTGACTGTGTCATTCCAATTCACTTTAGATGAAGGCTGTGATTTGCAGTCCGCTGAATCCAAACATTTACCCCTAATTGTCACCCATGAATTTACTTCACTAGTCTAAGGCTTTAATCAAAGAATATAGAGTAGAATAGAACTCTCTGAATATTAAGTTTGTCTATGCTACAGTATTCTATCTTTATAGTGACATGTAGATTCTCTACAAAAAGAAAAAATTGTTAATTTATGAAGGGTAAGTAGAAATAGTGTATAAAATAGCTCACTGTGTTTAAATTTAGAGTTCTCCAAAGACTCCAACTGTCAGGGGTCATGTCATCTTCAATAAAAATGTGTTCTATTACCATTAACTCTACTATAAAATTCAGTAAATTAGCCAGGCATTGTCATGCCTATAATCCCAGAACTCTACAAGGCTGAGACAGGAGGACTGCAAGGTCAGGCATAGCCTGAGCAACTCAGGGATTTAGTCAGCCTCTGTCCCAAAGTTTAAATTTAAATTTAAAAATGACAACAACAATAATAATAATACTAAAAGGGTTGGGGATGTGTGAAAACCCATGATTCAATCTCCAGTGCAAAACAATAAGTAAACTGAGGTCCTAAATGTGATAATAGATTGTTTTACTTATAATACAGTTCTATGATACAGACATTAAAGATGCTTCAATTTCAAAACTCATGAATGACAATTACTTTTAGAAGTCTTTATGTTTGCAGGGATACTTTCATTCAAACACTATGAAATTTTAAATAGAAGAAAGTTTAATGAAAATATAAAATGTGACATTTATATACAATAAAGTACAATGCTGCTGTAAGGAACTATAAATTATGAGACAACAATGTTAAGTGAAAGACATACAAGCTAAAATATCATATGGTTTCTCATATCTTAAAAATGCAACATATACATAAAGAACAAAAGAAATAAAAATGGCAGGTGTTATAGTCTGCATCTAGATATTCCCCCAAAACCTCACACAGTCATGGGGGCAGGCTTCTGGAGTTTGTAATTGATTCATGGTCCAATGCTGGGATTATGGATGTGAGTGCTACACCTGCTCTGGAGTGGGTAGCTTGCACACAATATAAGGGACAGCAAGAATATTTTTGCTCACTCCTTTTTGTTCTTTTTGTTTTTACTGTCTTCCATTGCCATGAACTGTTGCTCCTCTTCCACGTCCCCCCTGCCTTGGAGCCAGCTGATTATGGACTGAAATCTCCATGAACTGTGAACTAAATAAACCTTTCCTTCATTAATTTTGGGTGTCAGGTATTCAGGCAAGAAGAGAAAATTAACCAACACAGAATTTGGTACCAGGAGTGGGGTCATTGCTGTGACTATACCTCACAATGTG